CAACGGATTTTGATCCGAAATCGTGTGATTATGTAATTGAAAAAATAGTTATTCTGAGCAATTACAAGGGTTTATAGAGGGAAATCGAGTGAAATTACCTTCTGGGGTCAGGGAGTGAAAGAGCGAAATTTCCTGGGAGACGACTTCACTATCACACATTTTAAAGATGAATTCCTCAAATAGCAGCATAGCCACTAACAACGTAGATTATGGTTGTTCGTCAATTATGGTGACTAGGGTTAGAAAGAAACAATGTTGAGTGAACCGAATGAAAACAGTGGCTGACGGTGGGCGATTGAGGTGGAGACTGAAGGTCTTCGAGAGTGATAGGGAAGGAATTAGGATTTGTGGATGTCATCGCAACATGAGAATATAACTCGTCACACCAAATAAGGTGGATAGACAATAGATTTATACAAAAAGAATTTACAAGATACATCCTCAAAGAATTAGAAAACATACAATTACATACACACAAAATAGAAGATGTACAGGAGACTTAATATTGTCTAATATCCCCCCTTCAAGCGAAACGGTGGCAGACCAATACGTAACATTTCTCGAAAGAACTCAAATTGATGACACGGTAAACTCTTGGTGAAAATGTCAGCCACTTGAAGATTGGTAGGAACAAACTCGGTATGAATTTTCCCAGACGATACGAGTTCACGAATGAAGTGGTAGTCAAGATCAATGTGTTTGGCACGTTTGTGAGAAATCGGATTTTGAGTCAGAAAAGAGCACTTTGATTATCACATAGCAACGTTGGTCTAGAGGGTGGAAGAGCATGAAGCTCTCGTAGTAGATGAGTGATCCAAATGATTTCTGCAGCAGTGTTGGCCATAGCTCGATATTCGGATTCACAACTGGATCGTGAGACAATTGGTTGTTTCTTGGAACTCCAGGATACAATATTGCCCCCCAGGAATATTGAGTAGCCATAAGTGGAGCGACGAGTCTCCAGACATCTAGCCCAGTCAGCATCCGAATAACCCACAATTGTTGTAAACTTTGGTTTGGAAAAAGAAAGACCAAAGGGGATAGTTCCCTTGATGTAACGATGTAACCGTTTAACTGCCTGATAATGAGAAGTAGTGGGAGCTTGAAGAAACTGTCTGAGTTGGTTAACAACATACGAGATATCCGGTCGAGTGATTGTAAGATACTGCAAGGCAACAACAAGAGATCGATAATGTGAAGGATTGCAGTAAGGATCACCACTGGAAATAAACGGTGTGTTGGAGGCAAGCGGAGTGGGGACTGGTTTAGCATCAAGGAGACCAGCCCGTGTAAGGATGTCATGAGCATATTTAGACTTACTAAGAAAGATACCAGTCGATGTGTACGACGCTTCGAGACCCAAAAAATAATTTAGTCGGCCAAGATCTTTTAATGGCAAACTCCTTATCCAAACGAGTGATGACAGAGCGAAGAACGGTGGCATCATTACCAGTAAGAATGAGGTCATCAACATAGACCAATAGGTAAAGCACACATGAATCTCGTTTGAAGACAAAGAGTGAGGGGTCAGCACGACTACACACAAAACCATTGCTTGTTAAAAAGGTACTAAGGCGATGAAACCAAGCACGAGGCGCCTGCTTTAGACTGTAGAGAGCTTTGTTTAGGCGACACACATGATTGGGATAGTAAGGATCAGAAAACCCCGGAGGTTGCTCCATGAAAACAAGATCGCTTAAACTACCATGAAGGAATGCATTATTTACATCAAGTTGATGAAGAAGCCAATCATTAATCACCGCCAATGACAAAACAATACGAACTGTAGATGCCTTGACAACCGGAATAAAGGTAAGAGAATAATCAACACCCGGTAGTTGACTATAACCTTGGGCAACAAGACGTGCTTTATGGCGATCAACCGTACCATCAGCCAAATATTTGGTTCGAAAAATCCATTTGCAACCGACCACATTACGATCATCAGGCCTAGGAACCAAGGTCCAAGTTTTATTAAGATGAAGGGCAGACATTTCAGCATTCATGGCATCCACCCAATGTGATTCTGAAGCGGCAGACTCATAGGTGGTGGGATCACTAGTAGCAAATAATGTTGAATGAAGAGCAGTGTATGACAGATCAGCTCGATACTTTGGTTTAAAAACCCCGACTTTAGCCCGTGTAACCATAGGATGTGTTGAAGCAATTGGAGGAACAACAGGAGTAGATGGTTATGTGGTTGTGTGTGGTAGGCTAAAGGCAGGGGCAGGCGAGGTGGTGGTGTCGATCTGAATGGATTCAATCGATGATTGAGCTGAGGGAGATGGTGAGTGTGTCGGGGGGGGGGGGGGTTGGAGGTGTTTGAGCTTCCTCAGGTAATGGAGATGACGGAACATGATCGGTTGGGGTTGAAGATGACTGGTTCAAATCATCAGGACAACCCACATGTTGTGGGTTTTCATCACACAAGCCACAAATATTGAAGTTGGTGGGTGAGAGGGAAGGGGTAACGGGAGATAAAGGTTGTGAACATGGGGTATCATCTTGAAAAGTGACCAAAAGAAGGTCATTAAGTGAAGTGGGAGAGGAAGAGCCACAAAAGGGAAATGAGAATTCATCAAACTTGGCATGTCGGGTAACGTAAATACGAGATGAAATAGGCTCGAGACATAGATAGCCTTTATATTGTACGGAATACCCAAGAAAGATACAAGGAAGGCTTCGTGGAGACAATTTATGATCCACATAGTCACGTAAGTACGGATATACTCGACACCCAAACGGTCGAAAATGATTATAAGATGGAGCCCGAGAAAATAATGCTTCAAAAGGTGACTTATTTTGTAACGCCCGAGTAGGGAGACGATTAATAATGTAGATTGCAGAACGAAATGCATGAACCCAATAAGAAGAAGGAGCGTGCCCATTGAATAGCATAGCAAGTCCGGTTTCAACGATGTGACGGTGCTTTCGTTCCACCCTCCCGTTTTGTTGTGGAGTGTACGGGCAAGAAATGCGATGAAATGTGCCATTTTTTTCAAGAAAATCGCGAACATGATGATTTATGAATTCTGTGCCCCCATCACTTTGAAAAACCTTATTTTTGAAGAAAATTGTGTTTGAACAAAATTGATAAAAGCCCCAAAAACCATATGAAAACTTGATTTGGTTTTGAGAGGATAGAGCCACATAAATCTCGAATAATCATCCACAAATAGAGCATAATAGCGATAACCATCAATAGAATCCACGGGTGACGGTCCCCATAGATCACAATGAACTAAATCTAACACATATAAAGCTCGTTTATCATTAAGTTTAAAAGGTAAGCGATGTGCTTTAGCAAGTTGGCAAGGAGAACATACAACGCGTGACAGTAATAAAGATGTCACCGATAAGTGTCCCAATTTATTTAATAGAGAAATAGTATCAAAAGAGACATGACCCAAACGGGAATGCCAAAGTTCAAATGATGCCTTCAGTCTTGAACGTGCAACAGCTGTAAGTGCTTGAGATTCATGAGAGAGAACATATAGTCCTTGTTCACATCGGCCCTTTGCTAGAACCCGCTTCGTTGCTCGATCCTGAATAAAAAAATTGGGTTGGGAAAACAAAACATCCACATTGTTATCAGTTGTCAACTTGCTAATAGACAATAAATTATTGGTAATATTTGGGACTACCAACACATCTCGTAGCCGAACATTATTATGAATGACAGATTGACCAACATGGGAGATGGGAAGAGTATTACCATCTCCAAAAAGAACATTTGCATGACCATCATAGGGAGCAGGTTGTGTAACAAAATTTGTGGAAGCCGTCATATGATTTGTAGCTCAGGAATCAACAAACCAGTCTGGAGCATTTGTGGTAACATGACACCGAGCGTGGAAAGCTTTTGCTAATTCCGTATCTGTACCGGGTTTATGAGTGGCATAGGAAGAAAGATGTGGACATGTATTGGCGTAGTGACCATCCTTACGACACAACTGGCAATGTGGAGGACGGCGACCGCGACCACGACCACCCTTATTAAACCGACCACCACGACCACGGTAGGAATTTGGTGGCCTGGTGTCAGCAGTGAATACAACAGCAGAAGAGGTAGTTCCATGCAAGGACTGTAAAAATAATTCATGTGCTTCCGCTTGGGAAAGAAGATCTCAAAGTGTAGTAGGAGATCGAGAAGCACGAACAGCAGTAGAAAAAGTCTCAAAAACAGACCCGAGACCACATAAGAACCAGTGAATTTTGTCCGATTCATCAACCGGGTGACCAACAGCAGATAACTGATCACAAATAGATTTAAACTTACGACCAAAATCGCAACAGTAGACGAACCTTTGGAGTTTTGGCGAAGCTGATCACGCAAGGCTTGAACACGCTCAATTGAGGAATTGTTGTAAGCATGTTCAAGTGCTGTCCAAATCTGATAGGCAGTAGATAAGCAAACAATTTCTGAGAATGTTTCCTCTGTAAGAGAGGCTTGAAGGAGAATAATTGCTCTCTGATCAGCCAAGACCCAAGAAGAACAAGCCAGATTTGGTACAGATTTGCCATCAACAAGAATTTCAGGGGCTGGTTTTGAGAGAGTTCCATCGACATGTCCCACAAGATTTTGATATGTGAGAAGAGAGATCATTTGGTTTTTCCAGAGAAGATAATTAGAGGAGGATAATCGATTGGTGATAAGATGAAGGATGGTGTTCATTGGGAGGGTAGAATCTTGAGAAGAGGAAGCCATAGATGAAGAAGAAAGAGGAAACAAGAAGTAACAGAGGGAAGAAGAAGAGATAGGGGGAGCCGACCTGTGCTCTGATACCATGAGAATATAACTCGTCACACCAAATAAGGTGGAGAGACAACAGATTTATACAAAAAAAATTTACAAGATACATCCTCAAAGAATTAGAAAACATACAATTACATACACACAAAATAGAAGATGTACAAGAGACTTAATGTTGTCTAATACTACAACATATGGCTTCTAAATCAACAGGATATCGTTAATGTTGGAAGAAGCAAAAAGTCGTCACCGGAGACAACCTGGGGGTTAGTTGTTACATATCACACAAATTTATAATTTATAATTTATAATATTTTACTGATATTAATAATTTCCATAACAAGAAAATAGAAAATGGTCATAATATACCACTGACCGAAAGTCTCAAACTCAAAACTCAAACCACAATCACTACAATTATTATGCTGCTTTTAATGTGTTGCCAATATCAATAACAAAGCGATAACGGACATCAGCTTTTGCAAGACGCTCCATTGCAGTGTTGATATATTCAATGGGAATGAGTTCAATCGCTGCCGTTATATTATGTTTTGCTGCAAATTCAATCATCTCTTGTGTCTCCTTTATCCCTCCTATCAAACTTCCTCCCACCATCTTCCTACCTGTCACATGCATCATCAAATCTCATTAATATTTCTTATTCATACAAAATATACTCAACCACATTTTAATGAATTCAGGAAAAATAAATAAAAGATTCATACCAAAAAGCAAAGGAAAAGCAGGTAGCTCATACGGCTTGGTTGGACCACCAACCAAAACCAGTTTACCATTAGGCTTTAACAGAGCAATCAAAGGCACAAGAGGATGATCAGCAGAAACAGTGTCAATAATTCCATCCATAGAACCCACACCACCCTGCATCTGGGCTTGATCACGACTCACCAGGAAGAATCAGCACCAAAAGTATTAATAGCTTCTTCTTTTTTCTTGGACTGGTGCTGATCACAGTAACCTTAACACCAAGAGCTTTAAGAAACTTAACAGCTACATGACCCAACCCACCAAGCCCAACCACACCAACATGCATTCCAGGCTTATCGAGCCCATAGTATCGGATTGGGCTGTAAACAGTGATTCCAGCACACAGAAGAGGTGCACCACCATCAAGTGGGTAGTCTTTGGGCCATGTGACGATGAAGTGTTCGTTGGCTACCATGTGGTCAGAGTAACCACCGTAGGTTACCATAGAAGAGTCATTGTAGGTTTGTACCATTTTTGGGCAGTATTGCTCTTGATCTGCACCACATTGATCGCATGAATGGCAACACCCAACCATACAACCCACCCCCACTTTGTCTCCTACTTTGACTTTTTTGACCTTGCTGCCCACTTCAGTCACCACACCCACAATCTCATGTCTGCAACGATCGACAAAAACAGTAGCAATTTGTTACAAAAAGTAAGTATCAAAAGATAACCCTAATCAGTAGCATATGAAAATGGAGGAGTGATTAATTAGTAATTAGTTAACTACCCAGGGATCATGGGATACTTGGCGTTGTGCCATTCATTCCTGACAGAGTGAAGATCAGAGTGACAGACTCCACAGTACAACACTTTGAACCTCACGTCTTCATCCCCTGTTTCCCTATAATCATCATTCATCACAGATTGGACATGAGTCAGCAAAAACTATGAATGTTTATTATACGAAGAAACTCGTTGATTAAAGCTCTAACAATTAATCGTTTTAGGAATTAGTCGAAAGTTTGCAATTATCAAGGATTCAGAGTCAGCTTGTGCTATATATAACCCTATGCAAACGTTGTTCAAAACTATATTTGAACCTGCACAGAAGTACATATAGTATCTCTTGATGAAAAAAAAGTGAGTCAGTTAGATACTTAAATATTAATAATCCATTTGATGATAAAGATCTGTTTAAAAGAAAAGAAAAAGTTACTCCACATTCAGAATCATCTAGACTTTCAATTGTCAAAAAGCAAAATATCAATAATATAAAAAAAGTCAAAATTACTTGAAAGTCTAGAAGTTACAACATTTATTCGCTAGAAACAAAAAGATATTTGGATTAACGTGGAAACCGAAAAGAATAGTATCGGATCTGTGTATTATATATACGATCTAAAGCATAATAATTAAAAACTAAACAATAAGTCCATGAGTAACAATCTAGATACGTATATGAGAAGAAACAAATTAAATAATATATATACCTCCGGGAGAAGTTTATGGGGGAGAGTACGCCAGAAGTGTCTTTAGCGGCGTAGCCCAAGGCCTTCACAGGATGATCCGTCTCAGGTGATTTACTCCCCATCGCCGATCACTGTGTGTTTGTGTTTTCCGGTGAAATGTAAAATATATAGCAAAAAAAAGTGAATGCAAATATTGTGTTTAATTTGATAGAGATGAGAAATAGTGCGTTGCGCAATGGGGATCGATCGAATATATATAGTGGTGGAGGTTTGATTGCTAATTAAACGAAACGTAACAGATGATGTGGTAGCGAGAGAGTTTGCTAACGTCACAGATAGATGAAGGGCATTGGGCAGTGCGGTGATGAACATTGACACGAACACTGTACGATTGTCTATTGGAAGTAAATTCATCCCAGACCACATGTTACTCTACTGCATGTATCTTGTGTTAAAATAAAAGGGGACAAAAAAGTATAATACAAACATTTCACGTTGATGCTAAAATTTATTTAGTTTAAATATTTAATTTTTTATGATAATTTCAAAAAAAATCATATCATGACATGATATTTTAACATATTGATAAAAAGGATATGGAGACGTAATATATAATTTCTATTTATTTGGTAATTAAATAATTGTGAAATTACAAAATTTTATAGAAACTAGGAAAAGGCCTGTACGTTGCGAGTAAAAGTTTAGTGGCAAAAATATAAAGAAGTAAAAATAAAGTGACAAAATTATAAAGAAGAAAAGTTTGTTGAAACTTTAGTGGCAAAATTAGTAAAAATAAAATACAAAAACTATAAAGAAGAAAAGTTTGTTGAAACTTTAGTGACAAAATCATAAAAAAATAAAAATAAAGTGGTAAAATTATAAAAGAATAAAGAAAAAGGGTTATAAAGAAGTAAAAGTGAATGTTTAGTGACAAAAATATGAAGAAGTAAAAATAAAGGGGCAAAATTATAAAAATGAAAAGTTTGTTAAAACTTTAGTGACAAAATTAAGAAAAAGTAAAAATACAGCGTTAAAATTAGAAACATAGAAAGTTTCCTGTTGAAACTTCTCATGTGCTTTAATATCTATATATATATATATATATATATATATATATATATATATATATATATATATATATATATACTACTTTATAATGCATATATAATTGAAAAACCAAAGGTTTTTAAAACTAAAGTCTTAAAAATAAGGAGCTTGATTTTGATTCATCGGATTTATTTTAATGGTTGTGATTAAAAATTGATGGTAATCTTGTCAAATAAAATTGACCAATCAAGAGCATTTATATCACACTATATATAGCACTTTTTAAAACCCTAATTAATCATATGATAAACTTTCTCATGTAAAATTAGCTACCGCCAACTCTCCCACTCAGCCGACACCTTCCTAAAACCCACTCATCCTCCTCCAAAAAAACGCCGGCCACTCCTTTCCGCCTCCTCAACCATCGCACTAAAGCATGAAACCCAAAATCAATTCCACATCCTTAGCCAATTCTCTCTCTAGAATACTTTCACATATTCTCTATACACACAAAGAGTTTGCCCCATTGCCGCCACCATCTTCAGCTAGCATCGCTGGTCGATGGAACACCTGCGAGGCACCCCAACGCACCACATGTGAACCACCTTAACCACGACCAACCTTGCTGACGACATAGTTGTTTAACACCACCACCTCTTACCGGCTTCATGAAACCTTAGATATATACCGGTGTCACCATCATGACCGGGCACATCCGCCACAGTTGACACTGCTATGAACACCATCGGTTCTCGGTGGCACCTGTAGACCCTTGGTTTACATCGCCTCCACCACCACCCCCCTTAGCCACGACCGCCGATGACAACCATGAAACCCTAGATGCATACTCATTGTTGCAATTTCCAAAGTGCACAATAGTTTCATGCTACTGCCTCATCACCACTTCTGTTTCATAGAACTAAGTAATTTTGACATGGTCACATATTTTATAGATCATTGACGTTAACTTTTATATCATTGTGTGTCTATGTTGTGAATAACAAGTATTTCTAAACCATATTTGGTTCCTGTCTTTGTTCCTTTTGTAATTGGAATTTTGTTAATTGTGGTTTGTTTGATTAACCTGTTTGCATGGAAAACATATATGTTATTTGTGTTTATAGACTGTTGTTTGAATATGATTCCTTTAGTAGGAAAATTTATTTATCTCGATTCAAGATTTCTGAAAGTATTTGATTTTTGATACAAGATTTCCATAATATTTGAGTTTATAGATTTGTTTGATTTATTTTGTAAAAGATTTTGACATGGTATTTGCTTATAGTGTTCTGAAGGTGACTGTCCATATTCCAAGAAAAGAAATAAAAAATTAGAAGAAATGCAATTGATTTATACGGCTTTTAAACGGACTCAATGACATATTTACATTTTTAAACTACACAGATTCAAAAGGTGCGTCTTGGTGGTTTTTTTTATCCTAACTTCAAGTTTAGAAAATTAGTAAACCACTAAGTGCTCTACGGTATCAGGTGGTGTCCTCCCTTTTTGAGGTCGAGGGTTCAAGTCCCGTCGTAGATATATGTGAAATAGGTGTTGTTAACTTAGGAGTAGATTAGATGTTCCGGTTAAAAAAAAAAGTGCTCTACGTATTCAACCAAAATGCAATTTCATTTTGATTGACTCAAATTGAAGAAATCAACCATGTTGACAAAATATAATAAACAATCAAATATCTTACTGAAAAGTTAATAATTCTAGAAAAGTTAATAATTCAAGACACGTAAACGCATATTTTTTCTTTATACCAATTTTAAAGTCTTTTAACTCTAAAATATAGTATATTTATATTCCTCTCTTAATATTTCACAACCATAAAATATATAACGATACAACAAAATCAGGGTTTACTATTTATTCTTGTATTTGATTTATATTTTAGGGTTTGGTTTCTGTTTTATGTTTTTTATTAAGAATTGAAAATGTTTGTTGATGATGACTTCAAGTCCAAATATTAAAATATTAAAATGTTTGTTGATTTCTATAACGATTTTTGTTTGTGTTTAACGTCTTAATGTATTCCTAAGACAATATACTAAATATTGGATAGTATTAGTTTCTAGGGTAAGAATATTAAATTGGCTATAATAGAAGGATGGAGTGTAAGAGTAGTCTTATGCCTAAGAAACATAAACATAGCTGACACTTATATATATATATATATATATATATATATATATATATATATATATATATATATATAATATATATATATATATATATATAATATATATATATAATATATATATGGGAAAAGAAAATTAAGAAAGCTTACAGATCTTCACCTTTTTTCACCTAGCACATGCACATTGAAAAAGAAAAAAAATCTCACCTACAACTAATTTATTACAATATGTATAAAAATATATTAACATTTGTTATTCGATAGAAGAATGATGAAATGATGCGGACGAAACTTTAATTATATGCTAAAACGTTGATTATATAGAAATTGTATAGAACAAATATACAAACATATTAGAAAATTAGTAATATTTGTTTTGGATGGACATGAATTTTGTTATTAATTTTTTAAAAATATTAAACATCATATTTTTATTGGTTCTATACAAAACTTTTATTTTATTTAATTATTTTACTGTTGTTTTAATATTGTCTTTATAAAGATATTGAGACAGTTGATTTGTGAGGAATGCATACACATGCATGTGTTGTGCGTAATGAGTTTTGTTTTGCTTAATGTTTGTATACTTTGATAAAGTTGAATAATTAATAATAAATGATGATTTGAATTTCATTTTAGTATTCGTTTTCTAAACTAAAAAGTGTTTAATAGAAATTAGTTTTTACTTTAAACGTTTCTTTTATCAATTATAAGAATTATAATAAATTAGTAATATGTTTGTTTAAACAATAAATTTTAATCTTTTTATCTATCAAAACATACTACATGAATAACCTATAATTAAACAATACGTATCATAAACAAAATGGTTGTAACTACTTTTTTGAAAAAGTTACATATTTTATTATAAAACTTATTTTAATAATATTATTAAAAATATATTTAAAAATTACTAAGGTATATATTAGGTAAAGTATTGAATATTATAAATTTTATAGTAAACTTTTCTTGCCTTCTTCATTTTATTTTCTGAAACATCATTTCATATGATAATAATTCACCACCCACCATCAGTGAAATATTACATTTTTTAAAGAATAATAATCAACTCAATGAAAATATTTACCGTCCATCTAAAAACTATTCGTTGAAAGCAAGCCCATTACATTACACAAGTTCAAATGGTTATGTACTTTCATGATTTGGTTGGGTTGGATGCAGTGATGGACAGTTTTGATTTGGGGTGAAAGTATAATTTGTATAAAAAGTAAAGAGGGGGCTAGGGGGAGGCAAAGCCAAATTTTATAGTTTTAGGTCTAATATGTAAAAAATTTAATAATAGATGACTAATTCTAAAAAACAAAACAAGGGCCCCCTAGCCCTAAAGAAGCTCCGTCAATGGCTGGTTGGGTCTGATGGTGTGTAATTTGACTTGCCCGTTCCAAGTCAAGAGTTGGTTCAAGTGACCTGAGCGAAGGCTTTGGGTCTCTTGGAACCTAGAGAAACTTTTTCCCCACATTGAATCTTACTTTCATTTTTTTTACTCAGGAACATCATACTGAAAGAAACTATTTTCCGCTGCCGCATCGCGCGGGTACGCCACTAGTATATATATATATAATATATATAATATATATATAATATATATTATATATAATATATATATTATATATATAATACTTTCTACAGATTAAACGCTACAAAAAAGTATAATTTTTTAGACAATTTCGAAATTGTATAAACAGTTTCATATTCATATAACAAATTTCATATTTAAGATAAGGAAATAGGATTTTTTTTTTTTTTAAGGTATTTTGTGGTAGAAACCATCAAGATATCAATTTCTCAATTTTGCACTTGTCATAATGTGCCATCTGTCCAAAAAAAATGTGTATCTTTTGGGTCCTTCTATATACACGAATTTTTCGTGTATTGACATAGAATTGACTTAGAATTGCGTGTATACACTAAATCAATTAGTCTTTTTAATCCTTATTTGTCAAAATTTCATTTACACTCCTCTAATAAACACTGAAATGTGTATTGACATAGAATTGCGTGTCTATACTAAATCAATTAGTCATTTTTAATCCTTATTTGTCAAAATTTCATTT